TGGTGCACACTTAATCCTAGCACTTGGGAGGCAGACACAGAAGCTCTGTGAGTTTGAGGCCAGCCTAGTCTCCACATGGGGAGTTCCAGGACAGCCAGGACTACACAGTGAGACCCTGTCTCAAAAAGCTAAAGTATAATGATGATGATGATGATGATGAATTTAAATTTTTATTTCTTACCAGTCCCTGGTATTTAGAAAAGTGTACCCAAATCAAATAAACACTGACATGCAAATTATTTAGACTGAGTGATATTTAGACTTCTATTAAAAATGTTTTGGGTTGGTCATTGAGTTGGAATTTAACAACAAAGTCAGCATGCACTGGATCTGTGGGGAGATCTAGGCAGACAAGGTGTGGAAGTTGTTGGGATCAAAGGGTTCCTAGAAGCCTTGATGGTTCTAGGTAGAAGAGAAAGAAGGAAAAAGAGAGGAAACCTTTTAAAGGGACTCAAGGACTGGAACCCTGGAGAAGATGGAGCCCTGGGAAAGGAGAGACAGGGAGGGCATCCAGGCAAGCAGCCAAGGCAAGGCTGTGCTGAGCTGGGGAAATCACTGTGCAGAGGAAGGAAAAGCAAGACTGAGCATGCGTGAAAACTTCCTTCTAACACAGTCCTGCACTCCTGACACCCAGGGGGGGAATGTCAGGGGCAGGACGCAAGTGCTGCTGGGCAGAAGACTCAGGAAAGAACAGGCCCTTCTCTCCTATGGCCCCAATTTAGCATTAGATGGACATGGACAAATCACCATCTCCCTAAAAGCTCCTGCATTTCCTGCTCCTGGTATGCCTGGGCTCTGCTCTGAACACAGAGGCCTCCCTCCACCTCTAAGGTTGGGGTGGAGAGGTAAGAGGGGCTGATTGACAATGACATACGTGGGTGAAGGAGGGAGTGGCACTCAATCCATCCTAACCCCCTCACCTTGGGTGACCTTCAAGCTCTTGCCTTGGGAATTTGTGAGTGTTGCCTTAGGTTGCTTTCGTGGTAATTTCTCAGCAATTAGCTAAGACTAAAAACACTTCAAACAATAGATTTGGGGAGAGCCCATATGTTCCCAGACACAACTGAATTGTGTGTTTTAATTTGGGGAGGATGAGAAGAGAGTATTACTGTTGGCATATTCTAGCATTGCTTCCCACGGCCGGAACTACCCATTGTTTTCAGGAGACAAATTCCTGCAGAGACTGGGTCTCTGGGAGGCAGGAAGCATTCAGAACAGCCAGGACCATATCCTGCTGTGTGCAAGTATTAAATTCTAGCAAAACAAGATCGTGAATGAGGCTACATTAGTGATTTGGATTTTATTGCCATTGCTGCCTCTGCAGCTCAACATAAATCTGTTTTCTGTTATAATTGCATAAGAGCTTCTTTGGAATAGTCACAATTCTTGGTTAAAAATGGGAGGCTCTCATCAGCAAGTGAACGCAGCGTCCTCTGAGCTCTTAGGTCCCCCTGGAATCAGACTTTGACTCTTATTCACCACGAAGATTCAGAAAATGGAACTTCAAGGCTGGAGGGATAGAGTACTTGCTGATCTTGCTGAGGATTTGAGTTCACGTCCCAGCACCCACATCAGGTGGATCAGGTCCCAGCACCAACACCAGGGGATCCGATGCCCTCTTCTGGCGTCTCAAGGCACTGACACACGCATGCACACATACACATTAAAAGAGAAAACAAACCTTAATTTAAATCTTAAATTAAAAAAAAAAAAAAAGAAGAAAATGAAACTTCAGCCACCACTAACCCCTAAAATCAAAGTCTCAAATGGGGAAAGTGAGGTAGAATAGAAAGCCTGGGAAAATTAAGACACGGGAAGGAAAAAGGGTACCTCACCCTGGATTAGGGTTTATATTTCTTGCTAGCTGAGCGTCAAGACTTTTGAGACACGAGAGGGAGCACAAGCGTGGTGGCCGAGTCTCTGGTATTCCAGGCCAGAGGAGAAGAACACAGAACAGGAGCCCCCCACTGAGCAGCTGGCCCAGACAGCAGCAGAGAATGAGGGCCCCCAGTCCAAGAGATCCAGGAACTGGACAAGGATGAACTCCTGCTCGAGGACAAGGAGGTCCTATTGGCCCAAGTGGCTGTCTCTGCAGACCCTCAACGTCTCCAACATCACTGCGACCCAACTGACCTCTCCAGGTCCTCTGGTACCGGATGGGACAGATGGTCTGGAGAGCTTCACAAAACAGTCATTTGTGCCGAAAGAAGGGGAAAAATCGCTTTCCAGGTGAACGGGGATTGTGTCAGGCATGGCGTACACCCAGCACACATACAGGATAGGCCGTGAGATTGACAGGACTGACTACGTGGTCCAGGCTCTGGGCTCCGGGCTGAGGAGCAGTTCCTGACAACCATGGAGGTGGCCCCCAAAGACATGTTTGCTTGGGGCAGCTACAATATCAAGTCCCACTTCACAGAGGATGACAAGACAGACTACCTGTCATGGGAATGAAACGTCGCCATGGGAACAGAATGGAAGGGCGCCTAGCTGGGAGTTGGGGATGATAGACAAACAGAAGGCCAACATATCCCTTCCCACCCCAAACCAAAGTGCTGACAGGCTCCTCCCTGATCTTCTCAGGCAGGCAGCTCTTCCGTAAGCCTCTCCTCCTTCTGCCCACAGGCCCCTGTGGTCTCTGGTGTCACAATGCTGCTTCTGTTGTTGAGGAAGGGTTCCAGCCCAGGCCTCCAAACCACTGGGTCCCTCCAGGTTCCCCGTCTTCCCTTCCTCAGGCCCTGGTTGGGCCCTGACTTCTAGAAGGTAGTGAACTATTGGGGGTTGCCCCACCAATGGGTCTCTGCCCCAGCACAGGCCGAAGACTGGGCTGTCCTTCGGGCACCATCACTGTCTGACGAGGCCGTCACTGTCAGTCACTGTTTAACCGTGAGATCTTAACATGTGGAGCACGTCCTGGGGGGCCGTCACTTACTCCTAATTCACTTGTCTGCAGGAGCATGTCATCTCCCCTCTCCTCGGCTTGTCTAACATCCCCACCCTAGTGGCCCAGTCAGGGAGGCCTGGGGTCTGCCGCTGTTGCTTCCTACAGGGTTGGCCAGCTCTTCGCCATGGCCAGGGCTGAGGGTGGCTCCGGTAGCTAGGGGTGGGTCAAATTGCCAAAACTCAATGCTTCCGGCCCCATCTAGAGGGCAGGATTAGGGGGCCTAATTCCTCTGCCTTCTCTGTCCTTGTAGGCAGTACTCAGAACCCTTGTCCCCACAGAGAGCACCTGCGCACAAAGCCAATGGCAGAGTCTTACGCGTCTCACTTGGGCCCTGTGGTCTGGAACCTTGTATCTGGCCTGTCAGTATTCTTTTGACTCCATTTGGGCCAGCTCATAGTCCTGGTCACCATGTGGTGTTCCTCAAGCCCAGGCCTCGACAGGCAGAGGAGCCTGTTCCTGATTCTTTTCTGACTAGGAAATAAACACCCCTGAAGGAGAAGAAAAAAAAAAAACACCTTTTTTGGACACAGCTAACAAAATCACTATGGTGGTTTCTTGTATAGAGAAAGGGATTTCAAATAAGAACACGAAAGTAGAGTGAACCGTGCTGACGTCCGAATGCAGACATTCGAATTTAACATTTCTTTCCTCATCGAGGAACTCGTACTTTCCTGTGGAAATTTCACAAGATTATAAACAAATTCACAATAAAAACACATGCCTTGAGACGTGTTTAATTAGACATCGTTTGACCTCTTCTGTGGCCGATGTTTTTATCTTATAAGCCTGTGAATTTGTGCAACACACCTCATAAGTCAGCTTATCATCTCACTCATTAAAGATCATTTCTTTAAGGCACATATTTTTACTTTATCTTTTAAGATCCATTGAGAGCAACATCACTCCCAAACCCTCAAATCATATATACGGCTATTGGTAAGGGGTGTAAACTCAATCCTGTCTTGTGAGAAGCCCACACTTGTGTGTGTGTGTGTGTGTGCACGTTGCACACGTGCAGGAGAATCTGCAGAGGCCACAGGAGGGCATTGGTAGAAGGGTTTTAGGAGTGTCCATTGTTACATGGGAAGTTTGTGGGGGTTTGTTTAGTTTTTTTGAGACAGGGCTTCTCTGTGTAGTTTTGGTGCCTGTCCTGGATCTCGCTCTGAAGACCAGGCTGACCTCTAACTCACAGAGATCCGCCTGCCTCTGCCTCCCAAGTGCTGGGATTAAAGGCGTGCGCCACCACTGCCTGGCTTGCATGGGAAGTTTTAGAAATATCTTAACATGGTTTGTTCTCAGGTATTTTCCTTGATTAGCCCACGGCTAATTAAAGCTTTTAGAAATACATACAGGTGCAACAAACACCATTCATCAGAAGCCTTTCCTAGGACTTGCTGGTGAGATGGCTCAGGTGTAATGGTGTTTACTGTACAAGCCTGACCGTGAGTTCGAGCCCCTGAACCCATGGGGAAGTGGAAAGACAGCTGACTCCACAAACTTGTCCTCTGACCTCAACATGCACACCACGGCGCGCGCGTGCGCGCGCGCGCGCGCACACACACACACACACACACACACACACACACACACACAAGAAAACTGTAACACAAATTGCTATCTTTATTTTATATGCATTATGTGTTTTACCTACATGCATGTTTGTGTGAGGGTATCAGATCTTGGAGTTACAGACAGTTGTTAGCTGCTATGTGGGTGCTGGGAATTGAACCCGGGTACTCTGGTAGAGCAGTTGGTGCTCTTAACCACTGAGCCATCACTCCAGCCCTTTTTTTTTTTTTTAAGATTTATTTGTTTGTTTATTTATTTATTATGGATACAGCATTCTGCCTCCATGCATGCTTGCAGGCCAGAAGAGGGCACCAGATCTCATTACGGATGGTGTGAGGCACCATGTGGTTGCTGGGAATTGAACTCAGGTCCTCTGGAAGAACAGCCAGTGCTCTTAACCACTGAGCCATCTCTCTGGCCTGTTAAACAGTCTTTTTTTTTTTTTTTTTTTTTTTACGGTCTTATTAATAGAAAACCCGGAGCCAGATACTGGGGTGAAGGCTGAAAGATCAGAGAAGCTGAGCAAGCCTCAGCCAACTTCACCTCGCCAACCCCACAAATCCTCTGACTGAAAGCCTCTGAGTTCTCACCCCTGAGGGTCTCAGTTGAACAGCTTTAGCCAGTAGCTTACCTCTACTAAATCCTCAGTCTAAAAAGACCTGAAGTTCCTGTTTCCTCGCGCCTTATATACCTTTCTGTGTCCTGCCATATTACTTCCTGGGATTAAAGGCGTGTGTCCTTCCCAAGCAAAGACATGAGATCTCAAGTGTTGGGATTAAAGGTGTGTGCCACCACTGCCTGACCTCTATGTCTAATTTGGTGGCTGGCTCTGTCCTCTGATCCCCAGATAAGTTTATTAGGGTACACAATATATCACCACAGAAAAACCATCTTTTAATTGAACATATTAGGCCCAGCACAGTAGTGCACACCTTTGATCCCAGTACTCAAGAGACAGCCAGGCAGATTTCATTGAGTTCCAGGCCAGCCTCAAAAACACGTGAACCGAGCTGCAGTCAGGATGGGAGCGACTCCTCCACCTGCACACCTAGGGGCACTAGGCTCTGCAGAAACACTTACAATGTACCCCAATCCTAACCAGGAGGCATGCAAGGTCCTGGCTGCCAGACTCCACAAGAAAAGAGGAAGTTGAGACTTGGTTCCTCGGGTGCAGGGACAAGCAGAAGCAAACGCAGCAGCGAACCGGCCAGCGCACATCCAACTTCGCCCGCAAAGCCCCTTTCTCGGCCTGCCAGCCTCCGGTGCTACCAATGCATGGTGCTTACCGTCACTGCAAGGTTGGAAAGGTTGGAGAACCTGGCACCGCCGAAGGAATTCCCCACCGCCGCCCCCACTCCCTGAAGCTCTGAAAGCCTTGAGGAGGCTCACACTACGTACCTCCACAAATGGGTACCAAAGCAGAGATGGCATGTCACAGGGTTCCTAACTATAGGGAGGTTCCTGGAGACCCCAAAGGGCGACATCCGCAAGTGCTTGGTTGCAGCTTTGTTTTCTTTCCTGCGGGGGCTCACGTGCCCCAGGCTGCCTTCAACTCATAGCACTTGAGAGGGAAGACCTAATCCCTCTGCCTCCACATCCATTTTGGGTTTTTGTTTTGTCGTTTTGTTTCTGGCCTGGGATTTGGAGTCTTTTCTTCCCAACCCGTGTGGAGTTTTTTTTTTTTTTGCAGAGGTGGGGGTGGGTGGGGGCGTGCCCTACCCCCACCTCTGAGGCAGTGTCAGGTACTGCTTTGCCCTAGTTAGCTGTTTTGTTAATGCTTTTCAACTTGCTTGTAAGGGACCTGTTGGGTTTTCACTTCTATCAGTGGCAAGTTGATAATAAAAGTATTCATACAAACAAAACCCTAAAAACTGAAAATTTAAAAATCTTTCTCGTATCTGGAATTCCGCCTTCCTTTTGAGCTAAACATTTGGCCTTTGGGACTAGAGATGCATCTCACTGGTAAAGCTGGTTTGACGAGGATCACTGCAGATTTAAAAACAAAAAAGACCAAAAGAAAAAAAATATGGCCTTGTCTTCCAACTAATGGCCTTTAAAAGAAAGCACCCCATTAAGAATTCAGAGTGAAATGTTTCTATCTATCCATGTAAGACCCTGAAGGTTGTTTGCTGAGTATCTCAAATGGTCAAACTAACAGGAGTCCCCAATACCACTCCTGTGGCCCCCAGCACATCTCCATGGTGAGACTCATGTGGTCATCGCCAAGGACCTGGGGACCATGTCTGCTCAACCTTACTTCCTACACTGGAGTCTGCAGGTCTTTAGTCTCTGACTTTGGCTTTGCATTAGCTCTGGTCTGGAAGACCACATTTTCCAAACCCCAAGGGTGAAAGGTGTCTCTCTCTGGAGGCTCAAATGCACATGTGACTGGTCCCCAGAGAGGGTTTCCTGGAGTCAGTGAATTTCAACCAGAAACTAAGCTCAGAATATTGCCCACACTTTTGTGACTGCCAGTTCCAAATAGCCTATCCTGGGCCAGCAAGGCAACCAGATAACGAGTCCACTCTTCTAGGATTTGGTTTAGGAAAGTCCTTTCTTCATCTACAGAGGCAAGAGCTTTTAAAGACTACAGTTTCACTGAAACAGCAAGATTTCAGGGGAGGGGAGAACAGCCAAGTAACTTCGATTCCACTGCATAGGCTTCTGTGGACAACTAAGGCCCTAAGGACGGGAAGGGTGGCTGGCAAACCCAAGGTGGCCAGAAGCAACTCCGAACTCGCCAGGGATGACATTGCGGTAGGCTGTGGAGATCAAGGCGTTTCCCCTGTTTTCACGTTCAGATCATATTGACGGTTCAAGAATGAACTCCTCGTGAGCACCTATTTTCCTGGTGCTGGGATTGTCCCCAGGTATCCATTATATAAGTAGGTGCTCTACCACCAATTCTAAACCTGGAGCCCAGGGTGGAACCAACACTGGTAGAACTCTCACCAAGATGATACAACTAAATACCTTTTAAACCCAGCATAAAATTGCTTTTCAATTCATGGACAAAACAAAGACTCACATTGGAGCACGTCTTGTTTCTTTTCACTGTTGTGGGAGATGGGGTGTCACCTGTAGCCCAGACTGGCTTTGGACATAAGGTTGGGGACCACAGGCCTATGCACTTAGCCCAGTTTTATAGCTGGAAGGCCCTGCTACTGTTAATGTGTAAGACAGTCTCCCTGTGGCACCCAGGCTGGTTTCTGATCCCTGGGCTCAAGCTTGTTTTTAAGATTATTACATGTATGGGTGCTTTGCCTGCATTTATCATCTATGCACCATACTTGTGCCCGGTACCCCTGGAAGAGCACTGGATCTCCTGGAACTGGAGTTAACAGATGGTTGTGAACAGCCATGTAAGTGGTCCTCTGGAAGAGCATCCAGTGCTCTTAACCACTAGGCCATCCTCTCCAGTCCCTAAATCTGTTACTTATCAAGTTTGAGGTAATTTGTTATGTATAATTTCCTGGCAAAAGAGACAACACAGGCCTGGAGAGACGGCTCAGTGGTTACAAGTACTGCCTGCTCTTCCAGAGGACCTAGGTTCAAGTCCCGGCACCTAACCAGTGGCTTGCAATCTTTTGTAACCCCAATCCCAGGGCATCCAAGGGCACCAGGCATGCACATGGTGCCCAAACACACATGCAGACTAAACATCCACACATGTAAAACAAAAGACATTTTAAAGAGAGAGACGAGACGACACAGCAGCAAGGATGGTTGTGTCCATCTTACACCTGACATTTACATCAGGTCTGAGCGGAGGCAAAGTAAGAGAGCTGGTGGCCCTTGGTCCCATCCCCCGAGTGACAATAACGGCACCATTGACTTCCCAACCTCACAGATGTGGTAGGACGCGATCAGTTGTCTTAACTTGGCCCAGGATTAGACACAGTTTTTACTGCATAGAAATCCAGCCCATGACACCCCACCAAAAAAAAAAAAAAGTCTGTAATTCTAACATTCGGCAGGCTGAAGCAGGGTAGTCCTAGCTACACAGGATTCGAAGGCAACTGGGACCACTGGAGCTCATTGTAAAACAAAACAAAGCCTTCTGTTTCACTCTCCCTGATTTTAGTGCCTCCCCACTGAAGACTTTGGATTAATTTCAAATGAAGGACTATATCTACACACACACTGTCACACATTAAGGGAAAGACTCTACCAATGGATGGGTTGAAGCAATGAAGTGTAGAAATTCTTAAACAATATACAGTAATGGCAAGGTACTTTTGAAAATGTGAGTAGGAATATCACATAAGCAAACGACACAGTCAAACTTCAAATTTTAATATGAAAGTCCACATCATGGCAAATGGTAAAGTAATGTAATGTGTTGACTCAGTCAGCCTGCAGAGCTACTCTAGTCTAATTTATCTGTCATTTCCCATCCCACCGTGGCCCCCCCAGTACTTTTCCCCATGTGTGCTTACACTCAGAAGATGCCTCCTCCCCAGGGTAGATAGCCATTTTAAAATGCTACATACGTTAACTCAACTAACATTCAGATAGTGAATTGCTTTCTCCTGTCCCTGAAAGAAAAAAAAAAAAGCCGGCTGTCTGTCCTTCTGGAAGAGATGTGATGGTCCAGTGCCCAACTTTACTTGGTTTTTGGATGTATTCTGGTGGACAGAAAGTACTCCAGATTGCTAAACTATATTGTTCAACAGCTCTTTCAGAAAGGGGATATCAGAAATAAACTTCTTAAATTCTTCAATATCAAAAAATACCTTGGTTTTACCCTTAAAATCAAATGCCAGCTTGGCAGGATAAAGGATTCTCGGTTGAAAGCCGCCTTCTTGCAGGATTTTAACGATCCCGGACCACTGACTTCTCGCATCTATCGTGCCGGGTGATAAGTCGGCTGTCAGTCTGATTTTTGACCCTCTGTAGGTTATTTCTTTTTTTGCTTTAGAAGCTTTTAGGATTTTCTGTTTATCACCAGAACTCCAAAACTTCACCAAGATGTGTCTAGGTGTGAGTCTGTGCTCATCCACCGCACTAGGGATTCGATGAGCGCAGACAATCTCGAGACCCTGGTCTTCTAGCTCGGCAAAGTTTTCTTCTATTATTTCCTTAATTATGTCCTCTGCGCCATTCTCGCGGTTTTCTTTCTCTGGGATTCCTATCACTCGGATGTTGGAGCTCCGCAGCCTATCCTCTCTCTCTCTCAGCCTTTCTTTATCCACGATCTCCTTGGCCAACTCCATTGTCTCCTTAGTCAGCCCCTCCACTGCATCTTCCTGATCATTCACTCTTGCTTCAATCATGCACGCTAAGGAATTCAGATCATCCATGGAGCTCTTCATATTTAAGACATCGAAAAAGTAAAGTTTCTTGATGTTTTCCACCTCCCTTTGCATCTGCCTGATAATACTGATCACGCTTCTTCTGAAGTTCTCCTCGGTTTCACGAATCAAGCCCGCTTCCTTGGCTGTGAGCTCTTTTCTTTGCGGGGTCTTGTATCTCCCTTTCTCCCTGTTCATTAAAAGTGGAGTGACTTGTGACGGGACACTCAGGTTTGTACGTGAATGGCTTTTAGGACCATCACTGCCTGCCTCTAGGGATTCTGATGGAGAAGCCAAGTACAAGGTTAGGCAGGGCATCCTGATCCCCTGACTGGTCATGGCGGCGGCTCCTCCCTGCTGGCACTTGACCAGTTTATTTTCTTTAGAGTCCCAAACCAAGTAGCTAAAGGCAAGTTCTCTAAGTCCATGGAAGGTCTCCTTTTTCTTAGTCGTCTTTACATTTCCTCCTTCTTCTGATTCAGAATCTGCTATCAAACTAATTAAACCAATCTCCTCACCCATCCTGGTGATTTTCTCAACTCCATGCTCTCCGACCACAGTAAGGCCTTCGAAGGTTGAGCCTCCTGTTTCATGAAGGACAGAGGCCTCTTCCTCCTTCGATAGATCTGAGTGCTCCTCTCCCTCTTCCTCCTCCCCCGAGGTCTGTTCCTCCAACTCTGAGTCCTCTTCTTCCTCCAACTCTGAGCCCTCTTCCTCCCCCATCTCAGAGGCTTCTCCCTCAGCAATTTTTTCCACGTCCATGATTTCTTCCTCCTCCTTTAGCCTTGAGGCCTCCTGCCTCTCCAACTTGAGAGTTTCTTTATTCTTCGCTTCCAATGTTTCTTCTTCATCAGTCTTCATGCTTGGACTAGCAACCTCTACCTCGTTGATGAACAGGAAGCTCAAGCTATCACTTGCTATTCTTCCAGCTTCGTGCTTTGTGTCTCCTAGAGTTTTACCCTAGAAGTTTAAAAAAGTTATTTAAGTCATGTTTTTCAATGAATTAAAATCCCTACCTATTTCACCCTCTAAATTTAATATACTTGCCATGACAACGAACAAGTATCTGTAAAATTGCTTAAGTATTATTTTCTTCCCTGTGGTGAAGCTGAAACTCTGGGCCTTGTCCATGGTGATTTCCCACAGATAGTGGTAGACGCCTGCATCCAGTCATCTATTCTCAAAGACATGGGTCCCCACAGAGATTCAGTTTCCTAGAATGATCTTAACAAATTGCTTCTTCTGCAGTATTCAGAACAAATTTCCACAAGATCATGCCTGCTCTGACCTTCTGAATCCCCAGTATGTAATATGTTGCATGTGACTGACTGAGTAAGCACATATAATGATCTCTCTTCACGTTTAGCACAACCCTATAGAACGAAGACCTGGTAACCCAGATTCACCTGAATGGTCATTTACCTTTCCCTGACACAAAAGCAATTTAACTCTTTTTTTTTTTTCTTAAATTGTGAGGGTGGTAGGGTGGTGGTGGTACCACAGTGTTCATATGGAGGTCAGAGGACAGCTTGCAGGAAGGAGTTAGTTCTCTGTTCTACCACGTGGGTCCCAGGTATCAACTCATGCCATCAAGCTTATATGGCAAGCGCCAATACCCACTGAGCCATCTTGTCAGCCCATAATTTTAATTTTTTAATTTTATTTTATTGTGGTATTGTGTTTCCCAAAATATTGTGTACCTTAATAAACTTATCTGGGGTCAGAGAACAGAAAAGCCACTAGTTAGGCAGTGATAGCACACGTCTTTAATCCTAGGATTCCAGAGGCAGAAATCCATGAGTTCAAGGATATAGACAGGTATGGTGACTCATCACGCCTTTAATCCCAGAAAGCAAACCTTTAATCCCAGGGAGTGGTGGTAGAAAGCAGAAAGGTTTCTAAGGCGTGAGGACCAGAAACTAGGAGCATTAGGCTGGTTAAGCATTTGGCTGGTTAAGCTTTCAGGCTTTGGAGCAACACAGTTCAGCTGAGATTCATTCTGGATGAGGACTCAGAGGCTTCCAGTCTGAGGAAACAGAACCAGCTGAGGAATTGGCAAGGTGAGATAGCTGTGGCTTGTTCTGTCTCTGATCTACCAGCATTGACCCCAATAACTGGCCTCAGGTTTGATTTTATTAATAAGAACTTTTTTTTTTTTTTTTTGGTTTTTCGAGACAGGGTTTCTCTGTGTAGCTTTGCGCCTCTCCTGGAACTCACTTGGTAGACCAGGCTGGCCTCGAACTCACAGAGATCCGCCTGGCTCTGCCTCCCGAGTGCTGGGATTAAAGGCGTGCGCCACCACCGCCCGGCTTTAATAAGAACTTTTAAGATTCATGCTACATTTTATTATTATTTTGTTTGTTTTTTGAGATAGGGTCGCTAATAGTCTAGGCTGGCCTCAAATTCATGTCAATCCTCATGCCTCAGCTGCAATTCCCACCATTCACGGAAATCATGCCTGATTTGTGTGGTGTTGGGGATTGAACCCAGGCCTTTGTGCATGCATGCTATGTATGCACCTTCCCGACTGAGCTACATCCCAGCCCTACATTTTAACACAGTGACCAGAAGATGGGTAGAGTGGTGTGCCTGTAATCCCATCAGAGATGGAGGTGCTAGGGTGGACAGTGCAGAGTCTGGGCTAAATGAGAGCCTTTATCCAAACAAACAACAAATAAAAATAAAATAGTGAATAGTGAGCAACAGGAAGACACTGGACACCGAGGTTTGAGTCCAACCTTACACAAAGTGGTACAAGTTCTAGGTGTGTTAAAAACCTCAGTATGAGGGGCTAGAGATATGGCTCCGAGGTTAAGAGCACTTGTTCTTGCTCAGGACTTGGGTTCAATTCCCAGCACCCACATGGCAGCCCATGAACATCTAAAACCTCAGTCCCAGGGGACCTGACACCTCTTCTGTCTTCCTCAGGCACCAAGCACATATATGGCATACATACACATGTGTAAATAAAACATCATACACATAAAAAATAAAAATTTTTAAAAAATTAAAAAAAAACCCACCTCAATTAAAAAAAAAAAAACTAATGTTTACAAAATCTACCTTAAAACGAAGATTTACTAAAGGGGAGATGCAAACCACCACAGAGTTATGGCACACAACAGTCAGATTACCCAGAAAATATTATGGCTAAGGGGACCTGGCCATGGGATCTCTTGAATGTTCATGCAGTGCTATCACCAGCATGCATATGATAGATACCCTCTACAATAAATCAAAATGTACCAGGAAAAAAGACAAGAGAGACCAGAGCAGATGTGGTGTGGTACACACCTATAATTTCAGCACCAAGGAGGCTGAGGTAAGAAAAAGTGTGAGGCTAGCCTGGGATACATAGCAAGACCCTGCATCTGGGAATCGAACCCCAGTCCTCGGGATGAGCAGCCAGTGCTCTAAACCGCTGAACCATGTCCCAGCCCCGTGAAATTTTTTTTTTTTTTTTTGGTTTTTCGAGACAGGGTTTCTCTGTGTAGCTTTGCGCCTTTTTCCTGGAACTCACTTGGTAGCCCAGGCTGGCCTCGAACTCACAGAGATCCGCCTGGCTCTGCCTCCCGAGTGCTGGGATTAAAGGCGTGCGCCACCACCGCCCGGCCGCCGTGAAATTTTTAATGTTAGCACTTGAAGTTGGAAACAAGAGTACTGTTGCAAGTTTGAGAGATGAGCAGGGAATGAAGGTCTGTTTGATAGGAATCTGTGAAGATGGTATTTGCCTAATACTACCTCTAAATAGCAATCTAAAAATACAGTTATTGGAAGACTTGAATAGGACTTTTGTTTTGTTTTGTTTTTTGAGACAGGGTTTCTGTGTGTAGTTTTGGTGCTTGTCCTGGATCTCACTCTGTAGACCAGGCTGGCCTCAAACACACAGAGATCTGCCTGCCTCTGCCTCCCGAGTGCTGGTATCAAAGGCGAGTGCCACCACCGCCCGGCTTGAACAGGACTTTATAGAGGAGGAAACCGGAGTGGTCAATAAATATAAATCCACCCAGGTTAAGTTTGGGTTAAGTGAGATGTTGAGTGCAGAGAGTGTAAGGGCTCAAGAGATGGCTGAATGGTTAAGAGCTCTTGCAGAGGACCCAAGTTCAGTTCCCGACACCCACATCGGGTAGCTCCACGGGGATCTGATGCTTTCTTCTGGCCTCTGAGGGCACCAGGCACATGATGATGCACAGATGTGCATGCAGGCAAAACACTTACACACAGAACATTGTTTAGAAAGAATATTAAACCCAGTTAACACCGGATATTAACACTGCTATTCCCACTTTTTAATGAGTTAAAAGATATTCTTAGTGTTTAACCTTAAATTTTAACATAAATGTTTTCCTATCAATCTCTAGAACGCCTATCAAACAGACCTTAATTCCCTGCTCATCTCTCAAACTTGCAACAGTACTCTTGTTTCCAACTTCAAGTGCGAACATTAAAAATTTCACGGGGCTGGGACATGGTTCAGCGGTTTAGCGCACTGGCTGCTCATCCCGAGGACTGGGGGGGTTCGATTCCCAGCACCCACAGGGCAGCTCATAACTGACTGTAACTCCAGTTCCAGGGGATCCAACACCAATGCACATAAAATAAAGTTGTTTTAAAAAAAATTCACATTATGCTTTTTAAAGAATTACGCCAACTCTTACACTTGACCCCTCCATCCTTATACGCTTACCCATCTTTCTTGAAGCTCATTTCTGCGTCCTCCGTTTCTTGCTTCGTTTGGCGGGAGTACATCTTTCAGTAATTCTTTCAGAAAAGGCTTTCTGCTGGTAAACTGGCGGAGGCTGTCAAGGTCGGAGAAAGTCTTTGCTTCACCCTCACATTTAAACGCTAACTTAACGGAGCACCGCAGCTCAGGCTCCAGCCCCTCCTCCCTCAGAAGGCGGAAGATGCGGCCCCACCGCTTCCCGATCTCCAGCGTGGCTGCTGAGAAGTCAGCAGCCAGCCTGAGGGTGGCTCCCGCTTCCGGCGCGCTGCCGTCTCCGGGGGCATCTAGGGGGTTCTCTTTATTCTGATGATAGCTTGTTTCTTTGGCTGGCTTGTCCTCCCCATTCTTCGAGTCCTCGCCTAGAACGCCTACATGGCCACCGCTCTCGCCACACCAGTCATCTGCAGGATGCAGGGCTTCTCCCATCCTCTCTAGTGATGGCTTCACGGCGGGGATGCTGTGGGGCTGCTTTTTGTCCTGCTCCCTACTCAGCTTGCTCTTTTCCTCGCTTTTCACGGTGAGGTTTCCAGGGTCCTCATCTGTTCCAAAACTTTCCTCCTCCACTTTCTCTCCTGGCTTTGGCCGTTCTGAGGCTGAATCTCTTCCTTCTCGCTGCTCTCCCCGGTCCTCCGGACTCTTCACCTCAGGTGGTGTACGTTTAACCAGCATTTCCTTTAGATCATTTTTTAGGCTTTCTCTCATCTCTACAAACATCATGTCTTGCATTTCCATTAAAGCATTAAACTTCTTCATCATGGCTGCCGATACGTCGTACTTTAAATCCACGGATGCGGCCACGTCCCTGTCCACGTCCCTGTCCACGTCCCTGTCCGCGTCTGCTACCGGCTTTTCCTTGGGCTCCTTTGGAAGCGTGACTGCTTTCGACTGCACACCCGACATCGTGGCTGCACTAACACCGGAGTGCACTTTCTTCTTCCAGAGAGGACTTCAGAAGCTCAAACTCCTAAAAGAATAAAAAAGTCATCTGAAATATAAACAAATGAAAATTTACTGAGTTTTATAGAGAAACTTATTAAGAATGAGACTGCTTAAGAAAACAATGCTATATGTACTTTGGGAGCCCGTTCTCGGGTTCCTCGTGCCTTTACCCAGCAGGTCCGCATAGAGGATGATTAGGACCACGGGCCTGAGTGCAGGTGTCTGGGATGGTCTGCACTTGGTTGTGCTGGGGGGAGGGGAGGAGGTCTTTTGCTCCACCCCTTGGCGTCTCTATAAAAACCCTGGGGCAGAGACAGTCGGGCCCTTGGAAAAGGTTCCAGGCCCTCTCGGGGCTATCCTTTATTTTCTATTTATCTCCGCAATAAATCCTATCTAATATTTCCTGCTTCTCACACTCAAGAAAACTCTGGGGAGCTGTGGGGTTGGTGGGTAAACGCCCCACAGAATGGCGCCATAAACAGGGACTAAAGAAAAAAGAAAAAAAAGGGGACTAAAGAAAAAAAAGGGCGCCATAAACAGGGACTAAAGACAAAATAATAGGGACTAAAGATAAAGGAAAATAATAGTTTTATTAGAGTTTTTGGCAAAAGTGTGAGTCAGCCCTGCCAGTGGAAAGGCATGCTGGTGTTATGGAAAATACATATTTTTTTATATATATTATTGAGAGGCAGGGGTTTTATCCTCGAGAGAAAAGGAAAGCGGACTGGAAGGATGTCCGATGCTGCAGCGCAATTCTCTTGTCAAAATTTTCTATCTTCTATCCCTTTCTCAATTTCTATCTGTGAAAAATAAGTATAAGGTATAGGGTAGTAATATAGTGTAGGAAAAACTTAGTAGTGTAAGATCGTGTAGAAAAAAATAAGTAAGACAACTAGACAGAAAAACTTCAATTTTCTAACTTTGGGGCTTTGAATGCAAACTGGGGGGGGATCTTTCTTTGGGCTTTACGGGTAGTAAAAAAGCTCTTCTGAGGTTATGGGGAAGAAAAAGTTTCCTATGGAAGCTTTTGACCTGGGGACAGCTGAAACGCTAAGTCTAAGCAGCAGGAGAAAGTGTTTTCTCCCTTAGGCAAAAATGGGGGTGTAAGAAGTCAAAGTTTAAAGTTGGGAAGTTTTGGGAAAAGTTGGTCTTTCTTTCTCCTGGGGAAAAAAATCTAAAAAGCCTTAATCTTTCTCAAAAGCTCTCTTAAACTTAAAAACTAAAGCCTTTAACTTTCTCAGAAGGACAAATTAGAATCACCTGAAGATATTAGTATGGGGACCACCTGTGATTAGCTCAAAGGGAAAACAACAAACCTCTTAAGACAGCGAAACCTCTTCAAGTTCTCTTTCAAGCTTTAAAAATTCTCCCTGCAATGTAGGAGGCAGGGACAAGTTCCTAAAAACCTCTTTTAGCTCTGTCTCTTCAAGCTAGTAAAAGACAGTGGGTCAGAGTACCCTGAGGGAAACACTTGGGAGAGTGGGTGAAGAGCTACAGAGAGCCCAAAAGGGCAGGAAACTTTATCTGAGAAAAGCAAAAAAGCCAAGCTTTTCAGTTACAGCCCAGCTGAGGCATCAAGGGTTTTTTTTTCTGAGTGAGCGTTTCAGAATGAAAAGGTGCTCCTAATTCTCCTAATGCAAAGATCCCCTGAAGCAATGCAAACTGTATCTTTAGCATTGTATCCTCACTTCTGACCAAAAACCCAGAAGCCACTGGCCAGCTTCTCTGAGTTGGAGTGCATTTCGGGGATACTAGGGTTCCTGCAGTTGTAAACTTCCTGGAGCACAGAGCTGAGGCAGGAAGGTGCAGGACCCAGGGGAAGATGGCTAATGAACAACCAAAACTAAAACCAGTGGGAACGGCGCAGTTGTCCACTTTCCTACAAGTCCCGGGTTGATAGGTCCACAGCTGCAAAAAGAAATCTGAGAAAAGCTTTCCTATCAGAGTAAGGACCTTTCTGGGAAAACAGTAAAGCTGAACTGTGTCTGAAGCAGTTGTGCTGCTGAGTCAGAACGCTGTCTAGGGGAAAGAGCCCAGCCAGGGCAGAACAGAACTATCTAGGAGTAAAGCTTTCTTTTCTGTCAGAAAGCACCTCATTGAGAAAAGCTTTGTTTCAACTGACTCCCGGTGAGATGAGGGAGTGTAGCCCTAAGGGGTGATTGCCTCTGGCATAAACTCTGTCCTTGAGCACCCAGACAAGCAAATGCAACCCACTGGGGGACTGGGCCAGGTGAAGGCCTGATGAGGCAAAACACCTGTCCTAATGGGAATTTAGAAATGGCAAAAACCTCCCTTGTTAGATTTTCAGTCTGTACGCAAACCACACAGACCCTGAAAACAGAAACGTACAAAAAACCCCTACCTTCAGTAGCAGGGAAAGCCGCCACTGTAGTGTCGGAAACTGTTTCTGGGGTAGAGGAGATAAATTGAGACCAAACTGGGAACTGTCTGGGAAAGAGACTCTGAAGAAACAGAAGGGACAGATTCCTCCCCAGAAAAATATGACCTGTAAAAGCTGCTGAGAGTTTGAGGCAGATTCGGGGAGAGAAAAAAGCCCCTACCTCCAAAGGCAGCTAGCAGAGGTACAGAGCTGCAGACAGATACCTGAAGCTCTGCATCTGCGGGGTAAGGAATAAGCAAAATGAGAATAAAGTCAGTGGGAGAAAATCTCTGAAAGAGCTATGGAAAAGCTGTTGTACATGATCTTGTTTTTCACTGACTGGCTAAGACAAACACAAGCCCCGAGGAAAGTTGCTATCAGAAATGCCAGCCTCAATGCCAGCTAACGAGGCAGGTACAGATCTGATACAGAGGCCAGAGTCAAATGAAAGAGAGACACCTGTTAAAGCCAGCTGAGGAGAGACCAGAAACCTCCCAATGTGCCATAGCTGAAAATGTAAAATGCTTGTTCAAATCTCCCATTGCAAAAGCAAAAAAACTTTGTTCAAACATCTCGGGCAAGAATTTGTAAGCAAGTCTGGTAAAAGAGAACCAGTTGACTCTCAGACCCAAAAAGAACTATGGGAAATGACTGATATAAGGGAAATGATATAAGGGACTGATATAAGGGACTGATATTATTATGGACTGATATAAGGGAGATGCATTCTGGAAAAGGTAGTTTTTCCGCTAAAGATTGACAATTTGTCAGCTCGATAATACGTTCATGGTAAACTTAAAATACAGCTTTTAAAAGATTAAGGAGGAAAATCATCTAAGAGTTTAAGTGTCAGTTCCAATGAAAAATTGAAAGGATACGGATTCGAGGTTTAGGGCGCCCATGGTAAAATGCCTTATTTACCCTAATAGCTGTGCAAAGTTTTTACGGTAGTTGGATGACAAAAAGCTACCTATAAGAGCAAACAAGTCACTTTAAAATCCTTAAAACAAGGGAAAGCATTTTATACACCGAACGTTGTCTTAGATATGAAGAAACTTATGTTGAAATTAAAAAAAGTTCTTTGCCTTTTGAACAAACTGCCTGCGATGAGTAATTCCTTTGCAAATCTAATAAGGAGACAAGGAAACAGGCATTCAAAAAGAAATGACTGCTTTATAGATGGGAACAAACTTCAGAAAATCTAGCTGTCTTACAAAAGAGTTGCTTCACCTGAAAGTTCCTTATAAAAAAATCAATGCTAAATATTACAGCTGCTAATAACATCAGGAGTTAAAGCTAATGAAGTAAAAATACTAAATCCTGAAACTCAAGTGAAATGGAAAGATCCCTGCTCGGGGGATTATGGAAGGGTCCTGATCCTGTCTTAATATGGGGTCGAGAACATGTTTGTGTTTTTTCACAAGAGGAGAATGAAGCTCGGTGATTACTGGAGCGTCTGGTAAGGAGCGTGGAACTAAGGAAGGTCAGCTCCAATGAGGTTCCTATAAAGGAACCAGAATGAAAGTGGCTCGATTTGTGTTTCTGAGGTTTTGTCACTGGTTAACGCAAACAGTGAGGAAATAGAGTTCGGAGCTGTGCCGCTTTTGGCTTTACCAGCTCCTTTAGAAAAATACTTTATATCACCTAATAGCTGTGCAGTATTTGGCGAAGAGCTTTACAGAAGCTAAATATGGTAATTTCACCCTCAGCGTGAAGTGAAGTTTTTCGGTAGAACAAACCAAAAGTACTGCTGTAATAGAAACATTTGTCTGAATTGAAGCACTTAGGGGAACTACTATGAATTTGGGTGAAGGAACAGCCTCTAGTTAAAAACCATCTACCGCTGACAGTGCATCTCTGCCGGTCCAGAACGGCTGAGAGAACTCGGCAACTTTGGAGTGTGGCATCATCCTGGGAAGGTTACAGTCCCCTAGCAACAACTATCACAATTCTATAACAACAACAACACTCACTAAATCCCAGTATTGTATAGCAAAGCTGACTATAAACTCTAAACTTTAGAAATGATATACGTACTTCCTGTCTAGTTAAGAGAATCTTTCTAATAGAGATAGTGATAATAATTAAGAGTAAGAAATAGAAAAAGATGAAAATAAGATATGTGAGTTTGTAAAAATTCTCTTGTTAGATCTCTGTGTTAAAAAATCTTTAGGTGTCTGCTAAGTTAAATATATGCTAAAAATAGATCTATAGAGTTCCTTTAAGAATATAAGCTTGCAAGAAGTATCTAATGTAGTCTTAAGACATGTAGTAATAAGCTTGTAAGACGTAAAGAATGTTAGTTGTAAATGTAAGTTTAAATAAGAAATAAGATGGAATGAATATAAGTATATAAGAAACAATAAGAAATATATTTGCTAAAGTAGTTCTATAGTTCCCTTAAAGAGTATAAATAAGTAGATGTTAATGTTATATGTGAATTTGGAAAAAAAAAGTGTAAATGTTAAATGTGGATCTATTCTTAATGTATATGGTGAAAGAACCCAAGACACAGAAGGTTAGTGTCGCAGTAGACTGCAAAGTAGGCAGTCTGAATGGTTTCAAAAGCTCCAAAAGCCACGAAGAAGCTAAGAATGGCGGACGCCAGAACCAGCACAACAAGGCATCTGCAGCTGAGATCCATGGAAAAATCAACGCAACACAGAAAAACCTGAGCTAACATCAAAAACGGTACGGTTTATACTACTGTACCTAAAACGGTCTCTGTCTGTGAGAACAAAAGTTGCAGAGATGCTTGTTTGAACTAAAATTGTTAACTGCAAAAAGTTTTGGTTGTAAAACGTCTCTTCATATTTGGAAGTGAAAGCCTGATACCAGAATTTATTTCTTGTTTGAACTTTTTGAACTTAAAATGAGATAAAACTACAAAAAGATTTTGGTTATGGATTTCTTCATATTTGGAAGTCTAGTACCAGAATTTATCATTTGAATTTTGGGACTTAAGAAATGAAATGAACAATAGAGATTTCATTGCAATGGGACAATTTTGAGTTTACTTATAGTAATGACCTAGGAACTGTTTTCTGGAATTGGGTTAAAAATGGAACTGTTTAAATGAAGAAACTTATTGTTTCTACCTTGACTCAAGATGCAGTTTTGTGTATGCATATATGCTGGTGATTCATGTATTCTGTGTTAAAAATGCAATCGTTTTGTGGAACTGTTCATGTAAAAATGGAATTACGTACAGAACTGGTTTTGTGTTACAAATAGAACTGTTTAAATGGAAAAGTTTGGGTTTTCTAACTAGGCTTGAGATTTTGCTTAAAAAATTATAAAGAAGCCGGGCGGTGGTGGCGCACGCCTTTAATCCCAGCACTCGGGAGGCAGAGCCAGGCGGATCTCTGTGAGTTCGAGGCCAGCCTGGTCTCCAAAGCGAGTTCCAGGAAAGGCGCAAAGCTACAGAGAAACCCTGTCTCGAAAAACAAAAAACAAAAAACAAAAAAACAAACAAAAAAAATATAAAGAAAAGGGAGAGTTTAATATTCCTTAGTCTAATTTCAAAAATTGTTTGAGTGGATTAATGTCATGTTTTGTTAGTAAGAAATGCAAATGAAGTATACTAAGAGACTACTTTTAGAGTGTAAAGAGTTTTATTAAGAAACTGCTTTTGGATGTTTTGCTAAAAATTTTCAAAGTATTAATGGTTAGATTGAAAATATTGCTCTCAATATGGGTTTGTAGGAATTGTATAAGTTTGGGTTTTTTCTAATAAGGTTTGAGATTGTTTTAAAAAATTATAAAGAAAAGGAGGAGTTATGTTTGCAAAAATTATGTTTACCCTGTTGATATTCTTTTTTTTTTTTTTTTGGTTTTTCGAGACAGGGTTTCTCTGTGTAGCTTTGCGTCTGTCCTGGAACTCACTTGGTAGCCCAGGCTGGCCTCGAACTCACAGAGATCCTCCTGGCTCTGCCTCCCGAGTGCTGGGATTAAAGACGTGCGCCACCACCGCCTGGCCCACCCTGTTGATATTAATGCACCCTGGTTTTGTGGAGTTAAGGAAATATTTAAGTTTGATGTGAATACATCGAAGTTTTTCCTGTGTTCTGTTAGCAAGAAAATTTAAATGATTAAGTTATAGTAGTAAGATGGAGAAAATTGTTAACTATATATAGCATCATATATGCTAATTCAAATGGTTCTGTTAAGAGTTTGCTTTGAGTTGTAAGACTGAGAAAATTGTGACTATGTATAGCGATATTTATGTTAACCTGTTAATGGTAATGATGAAGCTTAGGGATTCTTTAAGTTTGTAGTCGCCTTAAGAGTTTTTGGTTTAGAAAGGGCTTGATGCAGCTAAAGACTGCTGTAGTCACCTTGGACCTAATTCAAAAGAGAAATGCCATCTTTATCATCCTCTACTCCCATACTGGGAGGTGTAACAGCTATGGAGATTGCTGTGAGCCATTAGTAATTATTTTTTATATGTTAAGAAAGGGGGACCTGTGGGAGCTTTACCCAGCAGGTCCCCATAGAGGATGATTAGGACCACGGGCCTGAGTGCAGGTGTCTGGGATGGTCTGCACTTGGCTGTGCTGGGGGGAGGGGAGGAGGTCTTTTGCTCCACCCCTTGGCGTCTCTATAAAAACCCTGGGGCAGAGACAGTCGGGCTGTTGGAAAAGGTTCCAGGCCCTCTCGAGGCTATCCTTTATTTTCTATCTGTTTATCTCCGAGATATTCTCTGTAATAAATCCTTCTATCTAATATTTCCTGCTGCTCACACTCAAGAAAACTCGGGGAGCTGTGGGGTTGGTGGGTAAACGCCCCTCAGTGTACTTCAGAATAACAAAGGGTTTCTAGTGGAAAGTACACGTGGATATGATCACAAGGGGTGGAAAAAGGTCAGAACTCACAATTTATGCACAATGACTAAAATCCATTTAGAAGCTGACATGAGGCTGCATGCCTGGAGTCCCATCTAATTAGGAGACCAAGGTAGGAGCCTCAGGAGTTGGTGGTGAGTGTAGGCAGCATAGTGAGACCCCCATCTCAAAAAGCAGACAAGGGCTGGGGTAGTAACTTGGTAATAGAGCACACACAAAATAGGTCTAAAAAAGAGGTTTAAAAAAAAAAGAATTGGTGGTGGTGGTGCACTCCTTTGATCCCAGCACTCGGGAGGCAGAGGCAGGCGGATCTCTGTGAGTTTGAGGACAGCCTGGTCTACAAAGTGAGTTCCAGGAAAGGCACAAAGCTACACACAGAAACCCTGTCTCCAAAAACAAAACAAAACAAAACAAACAAACAAAAAAAAGAATTGGCAAGATGGGCATAGTGGTGCATGAATTTAATCCCAGCACCTGGGAAGAGAGGTTGGTGAATCTGAGTTCAAAGCCAGCCTGGTCTACATAGTGAATTTTGACCTTACACGCACAACCACGCACACAATAAATAATATAACAAGAATTAAATTGAAAAATAAAAAGGTATTACATACCACAAACAAAACAAAAACAGTTTTGAGGTCAACCTAAGAGCATTATTTTTGCAGAGTGCAAAATGTTAGATACTCCCTAAAAGAGCCAAAGTAAATTCCAGTTCTCTTCCCTTCTCCCACAGGCCCAATCTATGTTAAGGACCCTCAGACTGTGTGGCTCCTTGACCAGGCAGGGTGGGGAGAGGCAATCCATTCCAGCAACAGCATTTAATAAGGACAGGAAGTGGGAGAGTGTACTACTCCCACAGTACTGAGCATAGTTAAAAAAAAAAATACCCTTTATAGCTTAGTTGGGAACCCCACTTACACCCAAGTCTGCACCTGATAACCAGGACCCAGTAACATCACTCACCCAAGAAAATAACCAGACACAGGCCTAGAACCCAATGAAGCTCACTGGAAGGTATATAAGCAGAGGACACCAAGAGCAAAGCTCTGCCCTGCACATCTGGAGAATCTCCCCCAGGACCCTGACCCTGGCCAGGCATGGTGGCACACACCTTTAATCCCAGCACATGGGAGGCAGAGGCAGGCGATCTCTGTGAGTTCAAGGCCAGTCTTGTCTAAACCACAGCAAATCACACTCACACCCGCCTGAAGAGCCACGGAATTTCTAAGGACTAACGGCTCAAGAGGCAGAACCAGAAAACAGACAATGGATCACAAATACCAGGAGGACTCACAACCAATTCCATGGAAACCAAACATCTTGAGCGGTAAGGCTGCAGCTTTGTGTAGATATATCAGAATGGGAAGGAGAGGAGGGAGCAGGTCTTTTGACTTGGTTTCCTAAGTTTCCATTACTGTCACAAAATGCCTAAGACAAACATCTCAAAGAAAAAAAAAAGGTTTCTTTTGGTTCCGTGTCTTAGTCCGTGACCACTTGACCACCCTGGCCTTTGGGAGCAGCCCATCTCATAGTAGAAGCCCATGGAGACTCTGTCTGCTCATCACACGGTCATGGCAAAGACACTGGCCTCTCAACAGCTCTCTTGTTTTACCTCAAGTAACCCTTGCCTCCTAAAGGCTCCACTACCAGCACAGGGCTGAAGCTGGCAGCATAGGCTTGTGGGAAACATACAGGGCCAGATGGAATGAGTTCTTCCTTACCTAAAGATGATGCCTACCATGAAACCAAGCATGAGCGATGAGAACGTGTGTTGGGGTGGGTTCGGGTCTCCTTGAGTATGCTGGGACCACGGCTGTGTTTGAACTTCCTTTGCGAGAGCAGCAGCAGCAACAACATTTTTGTAGCTGGCCTGAAACTTGCTATATAATTGAGCCTGGCTTTTTTGTTTTTTGAAACAGGGTTTCTCTGTGTAGCCCTGGCTGTCCTGGATCTCGCTCTGTAGACTGGGCTGGCCTCAAACTCAGAGATCCTCCTGCCTCTGCCTCCCAAGTGCTGGGATTAAAGGCATGCGCCCCCACCACCTGGCTCAATGTTTAGATTTTTATTTTTGCCTAAACCTAGGGCCTTTTGCATGGTAGGTGAGGAGTCTACTTCTGAGCTGGATCCCTAGTCCTTGAGAAAAAGTTTTAAAGCATTAAGATTCTTTGCCGTTAGCCATACTTCTGTGTTAACACAATCCAAGAAGAGCAAACCAAATGAGTCTATGACCCAGTCACTCTCTATGCTGTATATAAAGGAACAAAGGCAGATGGGGTTTTAGTCAAGAGGGCTTGCCCACCTCACAAAGGCCCTGGGCTCTATGTACGCACTGCTGTCCACGCCCGAACCCCCATTTCCCTTTAGATCAGGCATGGAGGCTCACGACACTAATCTCAGCAGTAGGACTGCTCCAAATAGACCAGCCTGGGTTACAGAGGGACTATCTCAAAAACTAAACCAAACCAATACATATACACAAGGAAAATACAGAAGATTCGACCTAAATTCACCCAGGATCCATAAGGTGGGACAGAACTGACTCCTTCAAGTCACCCTGACTTCCACATGAGTGCCCTGACACATGCGTACACACGGAGACACAAATAAATAAAATGTAATTTAAAAATTTAAAATGTAGCACGTGTAAAGTGAGTGTGTGGGGGGTGTCTGTTAGCTGAGGCTAGCCTGGGCTACACTGAGAATCACAGGCCAGCCAGGGATACACAGTGAGGCCTTGTCTCAGAAAAACAATAATCAAACAAACAATAGCAAAGCAGAGAATAAGTTTCATATTTAATCTGGAAATGGGAAGCCAATTTGTTCTGCTTTGTCTTATGTGGGTCTAGAACTTGCTAGAACCAGACCTGTGTCAGTTCCCACCTGCCTCCTGAGTGCTGGGAACACAGGCCTGTGCTATCAACTCTGACCTTAGCAAGTTCTCTTATTAGATCCAAACCCCCAGAATTCTGGAGAAGAGCAAAAAGGAACTATTTCAATAACTGTAAGAAGCTAGATAATATGAAGGAAGATGAGGTTTAAAAAAAACAACAAAAAGAACAACAACAACAAAAAGAAAATCACATGAGTTTCTTCCGTCTCATAAAAAATAAATGCAGTTCCTCAGGGTCCGGTGCTGGAGTGAAGCAATGAGGCCTTGTGCATGCTGAGCAGGTGCTTGGCTGCTCCTGAGCCACAGGCCCAGCCTGACACAAAAACCAACAAAAAACTTTAAAGCAAATACTAGCAAATCAAACCCACTGGCATCAAGCAAGCTTACAGCAAGATCATGTTGGGCTTATTCATAAATGAAAGACAACGTGTGGTAAATAGTACCCCGTTGGCCCTGAAGAAGAAAATCTAGGTTTGGGTTTAGCTTCACAATATCTGAGGCAGGTGGGGGGGGGGGGGCGGTTGGGAGTGGGGAGGCTGTGTCACTGCAGCCCTGCAATAAATCAATCAATCAAGTCACCTAGCCAGGCCCGAACTTGAGATCCCCCTGCTTCATCCTTTTGAGCAGCTGAGATGCAGGACTGCCACCAGCAGGGTCCAGCCTAGGAAAAGCTTGTCATGAAGTAGAGGTGGAGATCGATCTGAATCAGGCAGCTTGCAGAGTGGTGTGGAGGGACAAAAATCACAGTGAGGC